GTGTTTCTTCTTCAACTATTGTAGGTTCGGGTTTCCAATTTGGCAGCAGCAGCACTACCAATTTCAACTTCACAAACAATAATCCATCAGGAGTGTTCACTTTTGGTGCAAATCCCAGTACACCTGCAGCCTCAGCCCAGCCTTCAGGCTCAGGGAACTTCCCATTTAGCCAGTCAGCAGCATTTACAGTGGGGTAAGATAATGTTTGTTGAAATGGAAGTTTTAAGTTGGTCATTTTTAAGTTATGCTTGTATGTGTTTCATTTTCTAAAACTCTTCAAGATGCAGTATTGTTCTGGTAAAAATTAAGTATATTCTCCAGTATGAATTCGCTATATTGCACGTTCAGAAGATTATATCATAGCCTGAGAAAAATAGCAGTAATGTGTGTTTGTGTCAAGAATAGCAGAAAATGTATTTAACAGTGTCTTTTCCTGTCTTCCTCCTCCATTATTGCTGTTTGTGTTTAATACTCTTACTCTGAAGTTTTGCTGGGAGCCTCATGTAACGGTATGAAGTTTTTTGTTTGTTTGTTTTGTTTTTTTTTAAAACAGGTCAAATGGGAAAAATATGTTCTCTCCTGGAACTTCTGGTCGCAAGATAAAGACTGCTGTTAGACGCAGAAAATAAAAGTCATAATGATGTTACACACAACAGTTTTAACAGCTGGTGCCCGTCATTTAGATACTGGATTGTACTACATGCTGGGCTTATCTGAAATCAGATCTGCCTAAGGACTTTAATTTTGGAATTTTCCTTCTCTCTCTTTATGGAATCCCTTCTCCCATCTCTTCCACCCCCTTTTTAAAAAATAATAGCTAGACTGGTGACTGATTCTTCAGCAGAAGTATTTTATGGTCCAGCACATTATTCACTGATTTGGCGTAGTCTGGCTGTTCCAGGAATAGAGCCTGCACGGTGAATGGCTTTGTATAGAACCTCTTCGTCTGCACCACTATGTGTGTTGATACGCGTTTATGGAACGCATTGAAATTGTAATTATATCTGAGGAATTCTGTATAGATTAGAATTCTGTATAGATTAGAGGACATTGAAATGAATGATTTCTATGCCAAGTTTGTGCTGGTGTATGTGTGAAGTGAGTGAGTTGGGTGTATTGTGCACTAAGATTTTCTGATAGAGAAAGCCTGATCAAAGAATTGGTCCATGCTAAGGACTTGTTAGATATAGTTCATTCTCCATTTAATAATTATATGCTATTTCTATATTTTCATTCTTCTATCACCTGTCTTGCCTTTTTCATTATTTTATTATACAACCTCTGTAAATACAATTTTGTTTCTGTACTTTTTTGGCATAACATAAATCTGTGAACTTGAAATTTTAATTTTGTGTTAGACATTTTTTTGTTGTTGTTTAGTCTTGTCTCAGATTTTATTACATAAATCCCATTATTCAAAGTTGCCTAAATCCATTTGGAAATCTTTAAAAAAAAATTGGGGTATCTTAAAAGTTGAATTTATTGGCTTTTCTGATCCAGTTTTGTTTGGACCAAAAACCAGTATTGTACAAAGTATTAAGCATATATTTTTATATTTACTGAAATGGACTGTGGTGACTTTGGATAATAAGGAAATGTTTAATATTAAAGCCATGTTTATTACAGTATAATTAACATGTTAAACCATGGGATAAATGCCATCAATAAAAATTTATGAAGCACTTTTTGTTATAGTTTTAACTCATAATGAAGGTACACAGTATTAATGGGACAGGATTTTATTTTAACAGTGGTCAATTAGAAATCCCAAAGAGTACATTTAAGTAATTAGATAACTCCTAAGAGAAGGGGAAAGTATCTGAATTTGCGACATATAGGAAGTATACTGCTTTTTGCCTGGTGCTAGGATTCTTGCCTAATTTGCACAGAGATCTACGTAACTCTTTTAAAAGTTGAAAATAAACACACATAATCATTTCTGTTTGTATTTGTATTTTCCTTGGTAGATGCCTAGGCAATGTTTCTTGAGTTCCTAGAGATCTATATGTAAAGCATTTTTTTAAATGGCAGTGGTCATTTCAAAATTTTACTTTTTTTCCTTTTTACATAATTTCTTTTGGATTATTTTTTTGCTGCATTTGTACTTTCCAAGAAGTGCTCTTGGAATAGCACTTGATAATTTATCTTCAATTTAAATGCAGTTATTTGTGCTCATTTTTAATTTGCCAACCTTCTGGTTGATTGGAGTTTAAATTTAGAACTTTTAAAATAGTCTTTATTAATGTTACATACTTGACACTTAACCTGCTGGAGGTTAATAATTAATAAATGGAGGTGGTAAATGCTGTAAGAGGTAACTGGAAATCTGTGTCACCGTTTGGAGTTAATATCTAACTTTGTCAGTTTATTCTTAACCATTCTCTAGGCTCATATACAATAATACCTTGGTTCACAAACACTTCTGATTGCAGAGTTTGGTTCACAGACAAAAAAGTGTTTAGCAAAATTGTGGTCCCGATCTCTGCATCCGGTGACAAACATGACCACAGCCATCTTCCCCCACAAACTCAAGTGCAGGCATCTTCCTTCCCCCCAGTCATAAAACAAATTGTTCATAAACTCTGGTACCAGTGTAATTAGGAATGTTAGGCTTTCTACTTTTTTTTTTTTTCTTTTTTTTTTTTGTACCAGAAATCAAACTCAGGACCTTGCACTTGCCAGGCAGGTGCTTGTGCCACTGAGCTATATCCCCGGCAGGCTTTCTACTTTCCTTTAAAAATGTGATGGAAAGTATTTATCTCCATTTAGTGTTTCTGTTTTAGCCAAGTACCTTACTTTTCTCATTGCCAGGACAAAATAGCTGACACTCCAAAGTTAAAGTATGAAGGGTTTATTTTAGTTCACAGTTTGTTGAGGGTTCAGTTCATAGTAGGCTGGCTCCAAGGCAGGGTGGAATGGCAAAGGAGAAACAGTTCATGATAGGCAGAGTAGCAAAGCAGCAAGGAAGCAAATAGCAACAGTAGACCTCCTCTGTCCCTTATATTCTATCCAGGAGACACACCGTTAGGGTGGGTATCACTCACACCCAGGGTGGGCCTTCTTGTTATCTGTACTCAGAATCAATGCCAACAAGCAGACTAATGTAGTAATCAGCCTTAATCCCAGCATCCACCCACCCCTGAGAAGTCTCCCTGACTGCATGAGGCTTTTGGGGCCCAACTAGACCAAGCCAGAAGATCCAGTTATTGCAAACCACACTTAAAGCTGGTTTATGTTGAGAACAGTTTGTGGCTCCCCGAACTGACAGTCTGTACAATTGGATTCTGTTTTAAGTGAACTGCTCTAATCCCTGGGCTGCATGTGGCAGCCCCAGCCTTAAATGTGTGTCCCTCATCAGACTCAGCAGAAGTTACCTCCTTATTGGACTGACTCAGGCTGGAAAAGCATTTGATCCACTGCCTATATTTACATGTATACTCTACTCCCAAGTGAAGACTGAGGTTTGCTTGTGGATGGAGGGGAAGCAGATGGTTAGAAAACAGTAAAAGCCCATTTCTTATGCTTGGCCAGTGAAATTGTTTTAACAGAAAAGAATCTGAAGAGAGGGGAGTCATGTGCAGCTAGTATGAGTAATCAGCTCTGCTTAGATAACTTTGGGTCGGTTATGTTCTGATTACCTGGTGCAGTGTGTTGATTTTAGGTTTTAGGACTTTATTACTGACTGATACACTGGGTCTGGATAGGACCCAGAAATCTTCAACATTAAGAAAGCACCTAGAGGGGCTGGGGATTTAGCTCAGCGGCAAAAGCACTTGCCTGGCAAGCGCAAGGTCGTGAGTTCGGTTCCCGGTACCGGAGAAAAACCAAAAA